TCCATCTCCACTCTACCCCGCTAAGAACCTCTTTTACAATCCCATCTGCACCCTCCTTAGCATTTCCCAAACATCACTCTCCGCTCTCTGATGTTATCTTCCCTAGCATGTTTAGAAACTGAATCCTCTCTCACCTGCAGGCTGACAACTAATATTCAGCATATTCCTGTCCTTGGGCTAATATCTCTATAACATGATGGCATTAACCAGCTAAGATTGATGTTAACTTTTTTTTTGCCAGAAGCTGTAACATCTCTACTGACAAGAAACTAGTGTAGACAAGATTAAAACCAGCGTGAGAAAGATTACCTACAGATAAGAAAATAAACAAAAGCCCACCATGATCCTAAGCACAAAGTGAGCACTCCAGCATGTACTGAGCAAATGAAGAAACATGTGGGTAAGGCTTGTTAAAAGATTAAATAACGGGCTAGCTAGAGAGATGCCTCAGTGGTTATGAGCACTGGATGCTCTTCCAGAGGACCTGGCTTCTGCTCCCAGGACCCACACTCAGGCCATCCTTTATCCTGATCATCCTCTTCCTTTCTGGCAGATGGGGCCTTAAAGGGTCTGTGATCTCATGGAGAGTATTAAGAGAAAGAACAGTAGACAAAACAAGAATGCGGTCATCCTGGGTGGGAGACGGCTCAGCAGTTAGAGCACTTGCTGTTCTTTCAAAGGCTTCCTATTTGGTTCTCAGCACCCACATCAGAGGCTCACACTGCCTGTAGCTCCAGCTCCAGGGAGGTTAACTCTGATGGCCTCTTCTATCCTCTGTGGGCACTGAACTCATGTGGTATATACTCAACACAAGACACACCCACATACAATAAAACACACAATAAGTCTTTTAGAAATATGATAATCCTATGTTGATTCTCTCCTAAATTAAAAAGCAAAACAGAAAATACAAAAGCCTAGAATAAATTTTTTTTAGATGGGATTTTACACTATAGCCCAGGCTGGCCCCTTGTAGGAAAACTTGTAGCAATTCTCTTGCCTCAGTCTCCTGAGTGCTGAAAGTACAGGTGTGATATCTAGAATGCTTTTTAATGAGATAGATTACCTTTTAAATTTTTTATTTTAATTTATGTGTATGGGGGTTTTGCCTGCATTGTGTGTATTTGCACCATATGCGTCTATGCCCGAGGAGGCCAGAAGAAGATACCAGATTCCCTGGACCTGGAGTTATAGATGGTTGCTCTATGTATGTTGAGTGTACTTTTTTTTTAGATTTATTTATTTATTATGTATACAGTGTTCTGTCTGCATGTATCCCTGCAGGCCCAAAGAAGGAACCTGATCTCATTACAGGTGGTTTTCAGCCACCATGTGGTTGCTGGAAATTGAACTCAGGACCTTTGGAAGAACAGCCAGTGCTCTTAACCTCTGAGCCATCTCTCCAGCCCTGTTGAGTGTACTTTGTTCAGCTATAAATTTTATGAGAACTGAATACGTATCAAATATTTCAAATGACTAGTTAACAAATACTAGCTGCTTTCTGTCACTATGACAAAATACTTGTGAAGGAAGAAGGTTTGGGCTCACAGTTTCAAAGCTTCCATCCACGGTCAATAAGCCCAGGGGCTTTGGC